GATTACAAATGATACTATTAAAAATATAAATGAAAACTAATAACGCATCTCATCGCTGTTAATACAGCAAGTGCAGTGAAGTAGCTTAAGGTCATCAGTGCAAATTTTATTATATTATTATTATTATATTATTAACGGAATACTTAACGGAATACAATTTTGAGGGATTACTTTATTGTTAAATGTCTGTTTTAATGTTATGATCGTGGCTCTGCAGGGGTGACTTGTTTTTTCTACAACAAAATAATAAAAAAAAAAAGTTTATATTGAGTTCAACTTGAAGCGAATGAAACAAACAGAAATCGCTACCTTCCAACCGCATCCCGACATTCAGACATTTCTGGAATCGACAGAAAGGACACCTCTTTCTCTGTGTCTTGTCTATTTTACACTCTTGGTTCTCCGCACACGTGTATCTCTTGTTGTTCTGCACCGTTCTCTTGAAGAAGCCCTAAGAATACGAATAAGAATAAAAATAAAATGTAACGCTTACAGTAATGACGTTACCACGTGATAGCATTTTATTTTTGTATTTTTAGACTTGGCATTTATTCACATAAATTATTCCACACAGTGGGTGTGTGTACGCGTGTGTGTTGTGAAAAACGTGCTGATGTTCTCACCTTGCAGCTCTCGCAGGTTAGTAAACCATAATGATACCCAGACACTTTGTCTCCACACACAGGACACAGCTCTTCCAGGTCTTCGTCATACGTGTATTCCATCACGTTCAAGATAACACCTTTAAATTGGGGCACACACACACACACACACACACGCACACACACACACGGGTTTAATTCTGGTTAAAATATATTCGTTTTTAGAAAAAATGTGTTTTTAATATGAATTTGGTTGGATCAGAAAGAAAAATCATTAAAGAAAAAAAAATTGATGGTGAGATTCCTGACTGACTTTGAGCAAGAGAAGAGCGAGAGGACACGGGCGCGGCTCGGCGAATTAAATGTGTGGAAAAAAGTGTAACCGGGGACAACAAGAATAATAATGATGATAATAATAATAATAATGTTACTTTATGGAGATATATTATTAAATAACTGATTTTGCTGGTACTGTTTGTTGATTTTATTTCCTATGTTAACCAGAAATTGGGAAAATCAATTCTGCAGGAGTAGCGCAGTGGGAATACTGAATATGACAGCATATGAACACTTCCGCTGCAAGATTAAACCGCTGCATTCACAGATTATCTGGAACTTTCTTCAGGTTAGAGTATTCGACAGAATGTTAAGACTTACCGCGAGGTTTGTCTCCCAACATCTGAATGGCTGCGTGCGCTCACTGGCGGGTGTGTGCTGAAACAGAAATAAGTTGCAGTTATTTCAACCCTGGCGTTGAGAAGACGGAGAATTTATTTGTCAAGACACCAGACATACGCGACTCTGCCGGGGCTGAGGAGTTTGCAGTGAAAGTCCTTTAATACCCTCGCGTTTCTTCTTTACCCAACATCTCTTATCTCGGAAATTTAGACTGGCATGCTGCCATTGGTGGAGGCGGCGACACGTGACGTACGGTCCTTGAATGCAGCCTCTGCACTTGCTGACAAAAAAGCCCAGGCTGACGAGCGAGTTTCACATTTTCCACGCTCACATGCATACTTCAAATTATCCACGCACACATTGGCCATGTTTATCGTATTGTGACTATTTAGAGAAAACAAAAATGTCAAAATGACATTAAAGGGGCTTCGAACTCCGAAAAAAACGTGTGCTGTTAATTGTTCCTTAATTCATCATTCGTTTATAAGACAACCCACAAAAAACACACATATTACTCTGCTGAGAAGCGTGCAAGATGTTATATTAATATTAGATTAGATTCTTTGTTACAATAATAATGATGAAAATATCCCCTTATTTAAATTATTATATGTTCTATTAATATTATTATTATCATTATTATTGTTGTTGCTATTATTATTATTATTATTATTATACAAAAATTGGACTGTAAAATAACTCTTCCCTTCATTAAGTGATGTGGTACTCCACAGAGTAATTTAGAATAGTTTTTAGGCCGGCTGCCTTTCTTTCCACTAAGTTTCTCTGGTTCTCACTGTGTATTTAAATGCTAATGTAAACCATTATAACATAAAACATAAAAGCTCTAAAGTGAATGATGTTACATCAATGACCAAATATAAACATACCATTGGACAGGAGGTACAAGTACAGTTAGAAATTATATTTTCACTTATTATATTTCTAATCAAACCACGTAATAGTAACAGCAGGCATGTTTAAACATGGTTAAAAGTCACAGATTAAAAGGATATTTAAAAGAAAATATTTTTTGCAATTCCAACTAAAGATAAAATGTAAATTGGGTGTCCCCACAGAGGAAGGATAAAAGGCTGCATGCTTGGCTAAATTACTGCCGCATTAGTGAATGGAACATGATGTCATTTTATGTGCTGTTTCTATCACTCCATTTTCATTGGAAATGGTTACGCTGGTGAGATGTTTAACTGATGTTTTAGTTGTTTTTTTTTTTTTCATTTGACCTTTTTCAATTCCACGCCTTTATTTTGTTTTCCTTCAGAATTTTTCTTGGGAAAATTGGAGGATGCTTCATATCTGAACACTCACTTTGTCTAATCAGACCATTCTATTGTGCAGGTTATTTCCATTCTTGCAAGAAAACTTTTTTTTTTTTACTGTACGGTGCTATATATATCTGCACTTAAAATATGCATTCTCAGCCTATATGTTCATCTAATATTGGAAGTCACATTAAGTGAGTATGGTGGGGGCAATTTGCTTGCTCAGCATTAAGATATGTTGCCCTGGCTATTGTTAGCAAAGACAGGAAGCAAAGAGTGGCTTCTGTGACTCCTACATGGTCATTGTGTAGAAACAGAAATAATCCTGAGGGTCATTCAGTAGAGACCGGAAACAGAAATTCAAACTCACATCCATGTTTGTATCCCTGTTACGTTGATGTTGAGACAGGTTAAGAGTCCGCCGTGAAGATAAGTGAAGGATTCTCTACTTCATTGTCCGGGCCCTGTGAAAGACCTTCTAGATCAACTGTCCTTGAACCGTTTAGTCTTTCTGAAGCTCAGCTGAATTTTAATGCCACATGTTTGCCATTAATGAAAATGTTTCTAATACAAGAGACAGATAGTTTGTAATGGGGTGGCAGGAGGCAGAGGGTTAGGATTAGGGTTAGGGCTGAGGGGTCGGGGGGTCAAAAAGAAATATTCACTCAGCAACAACAGTATTATTGAATCAATATTGGGTCTGATGCAAATTTCAAATTTATTTACCTTTATTTTTATGTATTTTTTATATTTCTCTGCTTATTCTCAGCTGTGTTATTTTGTCTGATGTGACGACAGTTAGTTTGAAGACTTTCTGATTAACAAAGAAATACTGGTTTCAAATTCATTGAAAATAGTCTTGTTTCAATTAGAAGAAAATAAAGCTCTCTGTAAGCATTCTCCTGCTTGGAAGTGAGGACACTGTAGTTTGGGTTGAGCTATGGTGCACACACTGCAATTTTATTAAAACCCAAACCAAAGATGTATCAGTATGGGACGCAGCATCCGTGTACTATGAAAATTAAAAAAAAAAAAATGTACAGAGAAATGGAATTGGGAACGCCCTAGGCAATATTAAAAATAATTTAGACAGCAGTAGGAGGTAGATGTTGTACTCAGAACAGTCAAGGTACAGGCTGGAATTAAACATCCAAGATCTGGATTCTCAGTTTAGGGGATAGATGGATGGATGGATGGATAGATGGTTAGATGGATGGATGAATGGATGAATGGATGGATGGATGAATGGATGAATGGATGAATGGATGAATGGATGAATGGATGAATGGATGAATGGATGAATGGATGAATGGATGAATGGATGAATGGATGAATGGATGAATGGATGAATGGATGAATGGATGAATGGATGAATGAATGGATGGTTGAATGGATGGATGAATGGATGATGGATGGATGGATGGATGGATGAATGGATGGTTGGATGGATGGATGGTTGGATAGATGGGTGATGGCAGTGCAAATACAGTGACATAAAGCACATTATTGGGCAAGAAAAACAGCACATGAAGCTAAAATAGATTCAGGAGTCAAAAGGCTTTACTATCACATATGTATTATTATTATTGTTGTTATTATGGTTGTTGTTGTATTTATAAAATTAGAACAATTAATTTCAAATCTTAAAACTAATTTCATAATAATCATCTCAATCCTAAAGTTTAGACCTAAACTAAAGGAGAAACATTAACACGGGCCTTAAATGTGAAGTTTAGTAAACTTAGTGAAAAATATTCTTGCCAAAGCTGGAGTAAGCAATTCATAGTTTTTGGAGTGTTTGCTCAGCAGAGAGCAGACACGGGGAGATAGATCCTGTCTATTTAGTTATTTCACCCCTGACCTCTCAGAGCCACGGGCAAGGTTTCTCAATTACCCAGTATCCATCCATCTCAGAGCAGAAAGGGAGGGGGACTGGAGTCAGGTCCTCTGTCACTGAGGCTAGAAAATATGGACTATCTCTTGTGTTTTCTTTGCCACTTTTTTGTTTTGCATGGGTGCTGTGACGTCATTTCAGCAACACCCCAGTATGAGACAAATCCTGTCTCTATCTCCCTGATATATTTGTAGAAAAAATAAAGAGGAGAGATTTGGGACTGACTCGTGTTTTGACTTCATTTATCAGTATTTATTTTTCTTCACTGCCATTTTCTGCTGAACTGGCAGGATCCTTATTGATTATCAAAAAAAGAGATAATGTGAGGGCAAACTCTCCAGGTGAAAGGTAGCTCAACAAATGTATATGTATAATAATTTAAACTAATTGTTCATTTTATTATCTAGTTCGAAAATGTGAAATGACTAAATACATGATTATCACCATAAAGACAGAAGGGTTCAGATAAATAGTCATTAGTCAAATCCGTCACACATCAGACTTTTTTTTAATCACACATCCTGGGTACAATTTCTTTCAATAGGCATATGCGCAGTAAAATCTTTTTTTTTTTTTTTTTTTTACCATTCGATTTAGTGGCATCTTTCTCTGTCTCACTCTCATTCTCACTCTTTCTTTCTTACAAAATTAAAATTAAAATTAAAATTAAAATTAAAATTAAAATTAAAATTAAAATTAAAATTAAAATTAAAATTAAAATTAAAATTAAAATTAAAATTAAAATTAAAATTAAAATTAAAATTAAAATTAAAATTAAAATTAAAATTAAAATTAAAATTAAAATTAAAATTAAAATTAAAATTAAAATTAAAATTAAAAGAATATTGCAACAAGTACAACCAGAAAAATATACAATAAAATTGTATATTTAATAAAAAATAAAACACTTGAATAATAATGATGATATGACCATAATGATGGACAGATTTTCGTGGAAGGATCACATTAAATAGCACTGTACCCATGATTCCACATCAGGTGTAAAGTAGAGGCAGATGCTATATTTGAATGTTTGTGAGACTAAAGACTGTAACACATAGATCTAAATTGCCTTTGCAGAACAGATAGTGGCCTTACAAAACCAGAACAGACAATGCTGTTCTTTGTTCTTAGTGTAGTTAGCTTACTCTCCATCTACTTTACTATCTATCTCCACAACATGTATTCTGTCTGATTTCATTACATTTTATTTGATTACATTGAAGTAATAATGAAAACCTTATCTATGATTTATTGCTATTCGGTACACAATAAGCAATCATTTCGATAAGAGCACAGTGTAAATGATATTGACACTATTGTTATTGACATATTAAGAACAACATATTATGTTTGTTTGATATAATTGTGTCAAGTTTTGGATGAGTCAGGAAGCAGTTAGAACCCAAGTGCAGTGCTCAAGATTATTTGCAGAAAGACTATTTAACAGTTCAACATAATAAAGGCTATTAATCCAAAGAAAATCGAAGGAACACGGGCAAGGCAGGAACAAAGGAGACACGGGGTGAAGCACAGTGCAAACAGAACTGCAGAACAGAAACACAGAGCAAGCAATAAGCAGTAATGCAGGAAGACGGGGACATGGGAACAACATACACAAGCAGTAGAGAAATCCCAAGCAAACAAACAAACAACACAACACACCATGACCCCACAAAGACTGAGTGAGGGAGAGAGGTATTTACACCCGGGAAGCAGGTGAAACTAATTAACCCCAGAGAAATAGACAGGAGGGAGGAGAGACAGACAGACAGACCTGACAAACTGTTCATCCCTAGTAACAAGTATTTTCTAGTACACAACTGTAACAGCCATGAAGTTAGGTTTGTTTGTGATGATTTTAAGCCATAACTGTGCTTTTAATTTTGTGTTTTTCAATAATTTTTTACAGCTGTGGACTTGGTGTAAGGAGTTATGGTGAGAGTTTACTATAGGTCAGCAAGAGTTGTGGCTGAGACAGGGCTCCTGTCCACTTGACTCTGGCTGTCCTCAAGGCAGCATTACAACATCAAGAATTCGTGACATAACATATAACACATTTTTGGTTCTGGAGACAGACAATATATAT